CTTCTGAATGACTCCACTCCTACCGTATTTAATTTCTTGTTTGACTAGATTATGCTTTGATCTTCTGTAATGGGGGGTGGTTAATGGTTTCTGTGTTTCTGTGTATTGTATAATCTGAGCTTTCTTTTTCGGTTCAGTTAACTTCGGGTTCCATTTCGTTCGGAAAGAGGGGGAAAGGAACAGGCACAATAAAATGGCTGCTGGAGGGCCTAGTTCTGGGCAGCCACAATTCCTTGCAAGGGCCGGAGATGAGAGCTTTTCGCACGCGCCGTTGATCGAGAACTCGGAAACTGATCAGATTGTTGTTCCAGACGTGAGGATAAATTTTTATTTTTCTGATTATCAATCGTTTCATGTTTGCAATTTATTGGATGATTAATCATTTGTGGCGCTTTGAATACGAAGATACTTTAAGTAACTTGTAGGGTGGAGCCAGAAATCTTCGTAGGAAGGGAAAATTAGAGAGAACATGTTAAAATCTTAACGTTGTAATGAAATTTTTGTTTTAATGTAAGATAAACGAGGGAGGAAAGTTCTCATTTTTTCATTCGCTCCGTCCTTGGTAACTAGTAAGATCTGAAGTATTCGCTATGAAAAGTGCTGAAGGAATTTTCAATTGAGAGCTACTATTGCGTGTTATGTGCAGAAGAAAAGCTGGAAGAACCTTTTTGCGTACATGGGACCGGGGTTTCTTGTTTCTATTGCCTATATTGATCCTGGGAATTGTAAGATTTGTAGTTTCGCTGCCAAAAAAAAGATTTGTAGTTTCTCTCTTTTACAATATTTTCAGTTTTCTAGTTTCTCTTTATTCCATTATCATTATGAATGGGATTCTGAAGACTTGGTATGGTTACTCTCAGTTGAAACTGATCTACAATCTGGAGCACAGTACAAGTATGGGGTACGTAAGTGGTTGCTTTACCTTTATCCACCAACACATCATATTGTGGTCACAGGCCACAATTTGGTATCATCTTTCAATTTTATGTCCCCCACACATCCATCTGTATGGATCAGTTTATTAAGTAATTTGTGATTTACATAACGCATTCCTTGTGGTAAATGGTATATATTCCTTCACTTGAGGTTGGAGGTTCAAATCCTCGTACCCTCACATTTGTTGTACTAAAAAAGAATTGGTTCCTATTTTTTTTCCCTTGTGGAAGCTGGAAAGTCCTGCTTCACCATTCAAATTTCACATGATAGTTATATTGCTAATGGGCCTGACAACTAACACCTCTTCTCTTGGCACAGTTGCTTTGGATCATATTAGTAGCTTCCTGTGCTGCCCTGATCATTCAATCCTTAGCAGCCAATCTAGGGGTTGTCACAGGTAAATAACTTATGCATAGGTTTTTCCTTTTCCTTTTCTCTAATTTGTGATATTTCTCTAGTTTCAAGAGTTTTTAGACATCTTTTTTCTTCTTGTTTTTTTTCGTAAGTGTAGGAAAACATTTAGCAGAGCACTGCAAAGCTGAATACCCCAGGGTACAAAATTTCATCCTATGGGTTCTTGCTGAAATTGCAATAGTTGCATGTGATATTCCTGAAGGTAAAGTGATCCTCTTCATGAGAAAGCTAAAAGTTGAGTGAAAGATACTCTTGGTCGTTGGAGAAATAAGTACAATTGTTGCATGCTTAGTCTTTTGCATTTTGTGTACTTGTTTTGGATATTTAATTTAAAATGAAGTTATTGAGATCCGTACCCGCCAGCCAATTAAAAAGGTTGAGTGGAGATTGATATTTGTAGCCGATACAAATGCTTTGTTAGTGCTAGTATCGTTAGCATCAAGGTGGAGGAGAAGGGAAATATTAGAACTACTCATCATATGCTGTAAAAGCTGATTAGGTGTCCAACCAATTGCGATGTGATTCACATTGACATGGTCAAGTGTACAAGCCAAACCAAAAAGCATGTATGGAATTAAAAGTATGCTACCAATGAAGATTCACGTTTAGATTTGCTATGGGGTGTTGTGCTCTGTATATGCTACATGACATTCATTGGTATATAATTGTTATTTGTTGTAGGTAGTTGAAGTTATTCTTACATCTCCTCCTTTCTGTTTCCAGTTATAGGAACAGCTTTTGCATTGAATATGCTCTTCAGCATTCCAGTTTGGTGTGGTGTTCTGCTGACAGGGCTTAGTACTCTACTCCTTCTTGCGCTGCAACAATATGGGGTATATTGAAATTTACTTTTTTCCGGATTTTACTTATCTTTAAGAAATTGAGATTCTAAGCCTTGCACAATATTTACATTGGGAATTGTCAAGGAGGTAGCATAATTTTAGATAACTAAACTTTAGCTACTTTAAATGCTCACCTTGACTGGGTTTATGTCCACCATGCAGATTAGAAAGCTTGAATTCTTGATTGCAATTCTTGTATTGACAATTGCAATTTGCTTCTTCCTGGAGCTGGGCTATGCAAAACCAGATGCCGGAGAAATTCTTTATGGGCTATTTGTCCCTCAATTAAAAGGAAGTGGTGCTACTGGTCTTGCAATTTCACTTCTTGGTGCTATGGTTATGCCGTATGTCTCTGTTATATCATTTAATAACATTCATAGCCTTCATTCTCAATGTTCTAAGTCTAACTACTTGTCTGCAGACATAATCTCTTTCTTCACTCCGCACTGGTGCTCTCTAGGAAAATACCCCGATCTGTTAATGGTATCAAGGTGATGTTTCATCTTCATCAGTATAATATGTATGCTCATTTTTACTTAAAAATTTTCAAATGAGTTTAAAATCTATTTAAATTTGTACTTAACATGTAACTATCTTATAGCTTCACAGAAGTATGATGCTTTGGTTGTTGCTTTATTGTTCAGATTTTAATTCTACATTCCACCTTGCTAACATTTGCAAATTTTCTTCACAGGAAGCTTGCAGGTTTTATATGATAGAGAGTGGGTTTGCTCTTATGGTGGCCTTCCTCATTAATGTGTCGGTCATTTCTGTTAGTGGTGCAGTTTGCAATGCCCCGAATCTAAATAAGGAGGACCAAATGAGCTGCAGTGACTTGGACTTGAATAAAGCCTCATTTTTGTTGAGAGTATGTGTGATCTAGCAACTTTTGCCTATAACCTTGTTGTTTACCTCATGGGATTTGGTTCCCCACCAATGGTGCGCCGGTTTCATACAGAGGTCTTCTATACTTTTTTCAGAATGTATTGGGTAAATGGAGTTCAAAACTTTTTGCCATTGCTTTGTTAGCATCTGGTCAGAGCTCTACCATAACAGGAACCTATGCAGGACAGTATGTTATGCAGGTATAATGCGCTGCTCTGCTCCACTTTTCGTGCTAGCTGCTTCTTTTAGAGTTTCTGGATTCTTGTACTCATTCCATTTATATTATTGGTATAGAGTAAATCAGAAATAGCCATGCCATGGTTTTCAAATTTTCTCGATATTCATGATCATAAACATGACAGCATGGAGTGAAGAAGAAGGGAGAGAGAAATTGCCCCCAAATTTGTCTTAGATTAAAAAAATTATATATAAAAATTAAGATTGCAAAGTTCTCCAAATGTTTAGAATTGAAAGATTATATATAAAATGTTAGAAGGTAATTTGTCTCTCTGCCTTTAAACAGGACCTAATTATGGGTATTTCATAATGCTTGATTTCAAATAACTGTGTGATACTCAGTGTTTCTTTAAATCTTCCTTTTTTTTT